TGAATGATGTGTGTGTGTGTGTGAGTGAATGATGTGTGTGTGAGTGAATGATGTGTGTGTGTGTGTGAGTGAATGATGTGTGTGTGTGTGTGTGCCCTGTGATGGATCCAGCCCCATCCTGGGTTGTTCCGTGCTTTGTGCCCGTAGCCTCCTGCAAAGGCTCTGGACCCCCCGCAGCCCTGAATGGGATGAGCAGTTTCAGAAGATGGATGGATGGATGGAACTTTATTGTTCAGCGTGTTCAACATTTTTTTGACCATTATCACAGAAGTGAGAAATGCATAAGAATGTTTTTACAAACGAGAGGAGGCCATTCTAGGCCAACTACATGCTGTGTAAAGAAGTGCTTCCTCAAATTCATTTTAAAATGTTCTCCCGTTAATTTCCACTTATGGCCACGAGTTCTTGTATTTGAACTAATATTGAAGTAACTATTTGGTTGACCAGCATCCAGACCTGTTAGAATCTTATACACTTGGATCATGTCCCCCCTTAGTCTCATTTGCACGAGGCTGAACAGATTCAGCTCAGCTAACCTCTCCTAAGACATTCCTCTGCAGTCAAGAATACATATGTAAAAATCAGCAAATGTCTATTAAAAAAAAGATTAGATTTAAAAAGAAAAAACTACAAACAAAGTAGCGTTCTGGTTAATATGGTGCAAATTCTACACACACATGATATTTATGTGTGTGTATATATATATAAATATATAATATGAAGATTTAAAGGTATAAAGTGACAGACCTTACTGACACGGAAACACTTTAACAGCAGCTCTCATATGATCCATCACAGAATGGATATTTCAGATCAGAGCACTGGGCAGGCCGACAGGGGACTAGCAAAGACGCCCCTCATGGGCCAGGGGTGTGGGCAGGAACAGCCCCGCAGCACCTTGCTGGCAGCGGCAGGGGTGTGATGGGCTCCTCAGGGCATCAGTGGCACTACAGGCAGCGGGATCTGTATATGTCTCCCTGCTGGGTCCCTATGATCGACCCTGTGATTCATATTCATGGAAAGTAGGCGTGTCCAAGGACATTCTCAAATGAATGTTTACGGTCAGCAGTGGATGGTAAGCAAGGTGAGCAGACAACATGCCCGTGGGCTCTGCCCTGAGCCACAGCCTCCGCCCTTATATGTCCCCAGGGGAGGTGGTGGTGGTGGGGCTATCCAGAATGGCCCGGCGCGTCACCGTGCTGCAGCGTGTCAGGACCTCGTGGGTGAAGGGCCGAGGCGGAACCCTTGGTGGTGTGGTCTGTGCCCAGGCAGGGAGGGTGGAGCCTGCGGGAGGGGGTGGCTTTATGACATCACAGCCACTGCCCAGAGAGACATCATCGGTGCTGCTGCCCAGAGACACATCATTGGTGCTGCCGGCCAGGGAGACATCATCGGTGCTGCCGGCCAGGGTGACATCATCGGTGCTGCCGGCCAGGGAGACATCATCGGTGCTGCCGGCCAGGGAGATGCTGTACGTGTCCTTGGCTTCCCAGATGCAGAGCCTGGGCGAGGGGGGGGCACTCCTGATCTCCAACAAGTTGCCCTGCGAATGGGACGCTTGAGGGCTGGCCCCTGGAGATGAGCCCTGGGGCAGGCGGAGCTGCTCCAGGCTGCGGGCCGCTTTCATGCCGCCCCCAGGCACCGTCAGGAAGGGGATGTCTGAGCACGGCTGCAGGTGCAGGCAGGGCACGTAGCCCGTCCTCCCGCGGTATCTGCGGAAAGAGGAGGCAGAGGAATGCAGCCGCGCCGCATAGCCAAGATGACCCACGCATCTGCTCTGCGTATCGGCCACATACCTGACGAGCCACCAGCCGGTTTTAGGCTTCTGCAGCACCTGCACCAAGGCACCGATGCTGACTGCAAGCTCATCATCGTGTTCCGGCGTGTAGCTCCTGACCACGCGGAACAGCCTGCCTGCTGGCCGGCACGTAGGCAAACGGGGAAATTACGAGGTTAAACTCACACCACCCGCCCCCACAAAACTTCTTTGCTCCAGAGCAAATTCATTTCTGACTGTGAGCTTGCCTACTGTGCATTAAGGGAGCAGAGGCTCTGTGACTGCTATTTTTCAGACAGGCTCCAAATCTACAGTACCTAAAGGTTTTTTTTTAATTCTCAAAAAGCAATACATATGCAAGCAAATTGACATAATTTAATATTTTACTCCTATGTCTTATCCCATGTGTTTGTCATGCCACCTGGCAGGTTAATCTCTCCATCGATTTCAGTTACATTGAGGCAGTATGTTACACTCATTCAATGGCATCTCTGCTTTGTGTTTATTCTGATCTGTACATTTATTTATTCAGCTCTTGCCTTTTCTTTGATCGATCTGCATATCTTTAATTATCCTGTCTCCTGTCTGCCTCATTTATCCTACAGAATCCGTCATTTCCTAGTGACCATTTCATCTCAGCCGGCATCTCTAATTACTGCAGCACAACCTGTTGAACCGCCTGCTTTCTCAAATCTTTACGAACTGACCTGAGAGCAGAATGCATTTGTTCTCTTTTTCTGAGTGCTGCCTTACTCTTATTGGATGAGCTGTCCACTTCCACCTCCTCCTTCTCTTCCTCCTCTTCCTCCTCTTCCTCCCCACACTTCTCCAGGTAAGGGGCAGGGAACCAGGCCACATGCTTCTCATTGTTTTCCACCAGCCACCATCCTATAGTGTGAGATGACGGGTTTTAATCACTATGTGCACTTGACTGCACTTGTGTTCTCATGTGAGTGTCATCTAAGAGGCCACCTTCTACTGCTGAAGACCACTTCCAATAATTGAGAGCAGAAGTACGGAGGACTGTAAAAATCCACGAAAGTCATTCATGCCCTGCCCCAAATATCAAGGACACATCGGCTGTATCCTCACCAACCAGACCAATCCCATGATTCATTGTGCCCCAAGTTTGTCCTTGGGAGGCAAGTTAGCAAGACTATTTCAGTATCAACCCCATATTCCTACTAAGCTGCATTTTGCAATGGAGGCCAGAATGAAAAGAAGAGCGAAAGATGATGTTCAGAAAGCAAGGATTAAGCACGACGTGGCACCGGAGGAGAATATTTTCAGCTCTATTTGGAAAAGGTGAGAAAAGTCATAGCATGTTAACCTTACGGCATTATCTCAGGTCGCCGCTTCAGTAGCATTAGGTGAGAAAAAATAGCCAGCTAGCCAAGACAGCTGTTAATGGGATGTAGCATTATCAATATGCTGCTCCTGAACGAAAAAATTAAAAATGAAAGTGAGATAAGTCCTCATTTCAAAACTGACAATGGCACAGTCATGTCTACAGAGAAAGATTTTCTAATTTAATGTCTTTGGACACCAATGGGGGCTTTAATAAGGCTGCGGAGACCCATGTTTTACTAAGGAGGATACTCTTGTTTTACTAAGGAGGATACTCTTGTTTTAAGTACATATAATCTTTGACTGATATTCCTAAGCTTTCAGACAGCACAGTATCAATACTAATTATCATTCTGCTAAGGAGAGAAATTTTTCAGTTGATTCTGAGATTGTGTCATTGCACATAGTCGCGAGTTGTTGTTGAAAGTGTACTTTAATTAACAGTTGGCTCCAAACAGGAATCTTTGGTCTGATTTACAATTTTGCCATTTTCTGAAATTAGAAAAAATTTTCAACCTATCTAGGAGTCTCTTTTCCTGGTCTGTATCATGTAACTCCAGGGCTGAAAGATAGTCCAAGTCCGCCCCCCCCCCGCTAGGCGAAGCTTACCCCCTTTGTCTTTGATGAACACCTCAACCATCTCGTCCTCCTCCACCTTGAAGGGCCTGTTTTTGATATCCTTGGTCTCATATGTAGCCACGCAGCGGTATGTCTCAGGCACAAAAGGCTGTGTTATGTTGCCCACGCCGGTCTGTTTACCACTGTCTGCCTCGGTGCTTCCGAATGGCATGATGACGACGCTGCGGTGAAAATGAGACGCATGAGACCGGCTCGTCGGCATCTGAGCAAAAAGAGGGAACCTGCACCGCGCGAGAGGGGGAATCTACCAGTTCTGTGCAAAGTCTGGCTGCAGGTCGTGACTCTTCGGAGAGAAGAAGTCGATTAACTCCGCATTCTGCACAACGTTTGACTCACACGTGAGCAGATCGTCGCAGTAGTTTTGCAAAAACCTCAGACCAAACATCGACTTGAGAGTCTTGTTTGTCAGTTTTTGGTTTAAGCTCCTTACTGAAATGGAAAACAACACAACTTCCTTTAATATATTTAAGACAATCCCTGTTCACTGAATGCACGGCAGATGGCAAATTTACCTCGGAATCTTGGGAGGACTTTCTCTGATCTACGAAACGGATTATCCTGTGAGAACACTTTCTTCAGCCGTTTCTGCAGAAATAAACAGAACACAAATAAAACTCGCCGCGTCCCCCGCCACCGCACCACGCCCCCCCCCCCTCTACCCCCAGCCATAAAACGTACATGTAGCGTCTTGAACTGCTTATAGGACCTGTAGACAGTGATGTCACATTTATCGGACCAGAGCACGGATATGATGAACAGCTGAAAAATTAAGCAAAAGTAAAATCAAAGGCATAATAATAATAACAACAACAATAATAATAAAAGAAGAATAAATATTTTAATAGTTAATATGTATATTTATTGTTGTTGTTAACGGCAACCACATAATAATAGGCATAGTGTTGTAGTTGAGTAAATAATAAAGGTAAAATGTTATATCTCACAATTTTTGCTTCCTTGTGCATGGCTCCAGTAACTGTGATACAGACGGGATAGCGCTGGTCTTCCATGACTGGTGTGTGTCGCTTGTTGCTTCAGATACCGCAGCCAAGCAGGTCGCTGCGACTCAGCTGCGCCTCATCCATATAAACGCCTCAACCCAAGGGCGGGTCCAAACGCCACACGCCGGGCCCCTCTTAAAATGCATCACCAACATGCCTCCCTCCAAGGCATATTGATACTGAAATTCAGAGCTCAGCTGGTGTAGAAGGTTATTCCCGTAATTATATGTAGGCCTATTTCTGTCTTTTTAATGCCTTTCTACGAACGTGTTGAGTTAAACAAGACGTCTATACAAACGCATCGTATGCCTTTTCCATATTTGTGTAGGCATATTTCAAGGACGAGTGAAACTATTTAAAGCTCTGGTAATAGATGTTTGCTGGGAAAATGCATAAAATTGTTGTATTGCTTATAAGACTTTACCTATAGTATGCGTGATGGTCGATGGGATAGGCATGTTTTTTTCCTAATTATAACTTAATTTTAGGCAACTTACACAATTCATGAAATAGGGCTGCTGCTGACAACGATGTCTTTGAAACCATTAAAACATTATTCAGTTCTATTAAAACATCGTAATACTTGATTTCCTTTGCTAACACACAGATACAGAAACTACAAAACACCAAATTGGTGATACAAATCTGTTTACGTGGATTTATGTAGCTGAATGACTTTTTCAGCCATCAATCATACATTTGTTCATAGGTATTCATAGATTTAAGGCTAACGTATATGGTTCCCCCTGCTAAAACAGACAGACATTCTGGACCCCTAGTGCCAATACCAGCCACGCGGAACTGGGGAAAACGGGGAAACTGAATTTCCCGTAACCGGCCTGGAAATGTCTATGATTCATTATAACAAATCTGGACCGATCTACGTTTCGTTTTCCAGAGAATAAAAAATCATTTCACTATAATCTGCACCAACAAGTTCGACGAGTTTTATTTGAATAAAAATGTAATATGCGCTTTAGTTTTCCTTTTTGTGCTACACTCTAACTTATAATTATATATTCCAACCTGTCTTGAGTGAATTCAAAAGTAGCCTATAGGTTGCTTTTTGTGACCAACAGCTAGATTTAATCGCGTAGCAATTTTCACCACTTAATAGCTTACTTTAAACGGTTTACTTAAGTAGTGTTTTACTGGATGACTTTTACTTGAATAATGTTTCGTGTGATAGGCCTATCTGTAATTTTACTTAAGTATGAAAATTGAGTAGGCCTAGCCAAAGTTTTCAACCACTGATGACTGTTAACGTTACCTGTCCTTGTGTCGAACAAGTCAGTAATTTTAGACAATTATTCGGCTTTTCTTTCCATTCTTACATTTCATCTCACAAATGCAGAACAAATTAACTATTTGGCAAAACTATATACGGTGCTTTATTTAGGCTTACGTGGATATTACAACAATAGAGTCGGCCATCCATATCCGGGAGAATCAACCAACCGCAAATTAAAAATAGGCTATTACAAAAATCCGAAATTTCCGAAAAGCGTATGCATATGGAGTAATAAAATCTGTGTAGCATAAGTTTCGTCTTATCGCAAATAAACTTTCTGACACGTTTCCATTAAGAACCGCACATTTATCGATAAAATCAAGACTGAAAATATATCTAAATAACAAGGCTGAAAAGACCAACTGGAAAGTTTATACATGGAATTAATCTGCCTTGGCTGTTTTAAAAATTATATTATTAGCTCAATTAGTCGAAAGTATGTTTATTGTCCAAAGAAGACGTCGCCGAAACAAAATACTTGTCTGCTTGACGGAGCGTGAAGAAACTGTCCGTTTAGTTCGCCGTTGTCCGTGTGTATGGGAAAGACAACGTGCACGAACATTTTGGGAGGATGTAGTCGCGAACCACTTTACACCATACCTCTTCACTTCATTTTTTTACTAGAAAGAACCCCTATTGTAGATAGCCTGTATGTAGGCTAACTACGTTTTGACTAGGCTATAGTAAGAATTCCAGGTCCAGATATCCATAGTTGAGTTCTTACTAGTAAAAATGTAATTGCAGATCTCTACAATTACATTATAGGCCTACAGATCTGAAATTACACATATTTATACTGATAATAGACAATTTGGCTTGCCATATGACATGGGTATTGCAGAGATATAATATTATGGGTTTGCCTTGTAGCAATATTGTTTCAGTCGTACCTTTTAGAAAGCAGCGCATTTGCGCTGTCATGTAATTGAACTCCTCCGGCACGATATTTCATGTTATATGTCATATATTGCCAGTTAAGCTTTAAAGTGGTTTTTTGGAACGCATTGGAACTCGAGGGCTAACTTGAAATACTTTCAAAAGGCAACCCTACACTTTCAGAAATTAAGGGTAAAAATTTTACCTTTGCTTGTCCCTGGGGATGTACCCTCAAGGGTCCGCCGATTGTACAATTAGTTGTAGGTAATTGTACCTTTTAAGGTACAGAAACGGACCCTGAGGAACATCTTTTACCATTGATGGCAAATTAATTCTGTTTATACTTTCGGGATGTTCTTCAAAGTCCATTTCTGTACCTTAGAAGGTAAAATTACAGGGGCACAGCCCCAGTGACAAGCATGGGTAGAATGTTATATCCTTTTTTCTGAGAGTGAAGATAATAAGCTTTTATCCTGTACTTTTCAGTTCACTTGCCAAACCCTGCACTACTCACTCATTCTATTCAGGTCATATCTGTACGGTGTAATATTAAGCCTATTTGCATGCGTTATTTCCCACCAAAGTATCGAAGATTAATTTAATGAATTAAATGATCACAGTGAATTAACTTCGGTCCATTTCATTGCCTGCATCTACTCCTGTATGTTATACTGTTGTGCCTTGATTCGATTCGAGTGAGGATTGAGATCACACTGCACTGGAGATACTAAAGTAGCTTGTTCCAAAGATGGTAGTTTTACCATTTTATGGATATAAACCTTTCTTTATTAAACAATGTAACAGGGAACATGGATATCAGATTATTTCAAATCCGTATTTGTTATAATGGCAATATTTATCACATTTTTAAATTACCATCATGTTGAAATCATATGTAGTGTTCGCTGCTATCCAGGGTTTCTGATCTCCGCGGTAGGTCTTGCGTCGCATCCCTTGCGGATACGGGGCACTGCTGTATTTAACATCACGGTTTGCTAACGTTGATATCAGCGCAGGCTTGTCAAATTTGGTCAGCTGGCTGCAGTGAGATTTTCAATTAGAGGCAAGTCTGCACTTAACTACCCTGTCCACCTCGCACCAACGCAGTGCATTTCGTTTCCACCTTTGTTTGCAAAGTCAGCTTGTTTATGGTCTGGTAATAATCTTTTAACGCTTTTTCTCTTTAAGGAGCGTCCTTCCACTATATATGAAGTTCTAAATTTGCCTCTAACATGCCAGTAGATAAGCTTATATGTTTAGGTTACATTTATTTTTGGTTAGCAGACGCTTTAAAAAAAATGTATATTTACTGTTAATATTAATTCCTGAAAGTTGTCGTTAAAATAAACGATGTCGCAATCCTGGAATTTTATAAGCCATTTGAGATACACGCGTGACTAAACGAATTGTTCACTTTGCCTAAGTGACGACTAATGTTATGCTTCATTGTGTTTCCTTATAGACGAAGAAGTGTGTTAAATTGCGCAATGACATATTTTTCTCATACGTTTATCACCTTCTTAAAAGTAGCGAGATTATTGTACCTAGAAACTTAAAGGATTCAAAAGCTTTATTATCACTGGTACACGTGTACAAGTACTGGTACAGTAAAATACATGCTGCCGACCTCCTGACCAGACAGGCTTAAACAATGAACATATAACAATAACAATAGAAAATAATTTAATAGTAATAACGTAATGACGTTCATACAATATAGGCTACATAATACACATGCAATATTCAATATGTATATATGATAACATACAAGTGAGAAAACATAATGCTGAGGTTAAAGTGACAGTGGTTAATAAATGTCAGTGGTGATTAAAATATAATGTCAGAACTGTAACGTCTTCTGGAGGGAAGAAGGAAGAAGGTGGCTGTGCTGGACGGCTGGGCCCCGTCATTTCCTTCCGGAGGCAGCCTATGAGGTGAATTTCTTACCACCGGTGATGGTCTGTGTCGTTTTCACCACCCTCTGCAGTGCTTTGTGGTTCTGTGCAGAACTTTTTCACTGGGATGGCAAAGGGGTGGCCAATGATTTTCATGGGGTGACACAAACACCAAGACATAATCTCAAAACAGACAAACCCTCACATTAACATTTTCCGTCGTGTTGCAGAAATAAACGCACCAACCTATTACGTACTTTAATTAAAAGTATTTTCCTTTATTATTGTTACTCTCAAGAAAACTGTATATTTCGTCCCCTGCTTGTAATGTCAAATCAACTTCCAGCAAAGATCTATGTCCTCAATCTTTTTTTATTGCGTACAGCACCATAAGAAATTAAACAAAATAATTTTTATACGACAAAAGAACAACGATTTAACAAAGGAAAAATTTTAAACCAATTTTGTGATGTACTGCCAATTAAGCCTTAAATTGCATTTTGGAACGCATTGGAACACGAGGGTTACCTTCAAAGAGGCAAATATATATTTCAGAGCAATGTTAACACCAAATTCAAGCACAATGAGACTTAAACGTACCTAACTAGAGCGGTTTGTTCTATTCCAATGTGTTTGACGTGAAACATTGCTGACTAATTAAAAATACAGGTAATAAATTTAAAAAACAACAAGAACAATTAGGATAGACCACATTTAAAAGCAATCAATTAAATGCCTTACAAATCTCTCCAATAAGCAGTGCTGCGGTGCAAAGTGAGGGCGAATGACGACGAAGGAGGGAGGTCCGGAGAATCTGTAGGCTTCCCCTGGAAACTTACGGCACGTAACAGGTCTTACACGGTTAACGGTTCGACGGTGCACCGCACCTTTCCATAGTTCCTCTTGGGGAATAAAATCCCTACAGCAAAATTTAGGCGACCTTGCATATGCTGCACAGCTGCCGTGGCAGGATGATATGCATCCGGCCAGTAAAGAAAATGCACCTGTGTAGTGAGAGGTGCAGGGGACATGTGGGCCATCCTCAGACCTCTGAGGAAATAAAGGCATTAGTGGGTTTTCATTAAAGCAGCTGCTGTTTGTTCAGTCTAGTTGAGATCATAAATGAGAAAGATTCCAAGAAATGCAAAGTTGCTGACCCGGCGACATGTATTTGATTGCACTCTGATATTTGCTTCTTGCAATCCATAGTCAACTCTTACGTTCTGCAGGCCGTCTCATTGTTGTTGCTGATCAGGCCTGTGACGGTGATGACACCAGAAAACTTCACAATCGGATTTTGTAGTTTTTTATGTGATTGTTGCAGCCCAAAATACTTGACTTTGCAGCAGTATTTCTCAAAAATTGTGTAGTTCTATGTGTGTTTTTGTTCTTGCAGAAAATGTGCAGAAATTGCCAAAATTAAGTTCAACAATTTGACTACCAGTGAAAAGAGAAGGTGTTACTTTATAAATTCTATATATTCGCATTTTTCAAAAGCCGTGTGTGTGTGCGTGTTTGAAAATGTATTTTGGTTCCAGTTAAGCTGGTATTCCTTTGGCGTGTATTCTATCGGCTTTCACGCTCTACCACTGGGTGGCGCGTAAATAAATGCGTGCCAGTGATATGTATTTTGTTACGTTTTCAATCACTTCATTCTTTAACTTTCAAAATAAATAAAGGAGGCATTGATGCCCAATGAGTGGTTGAAAACATTATGTGAATTGAGGCGGTACAGTACACCATCATTCGTAATGAAACACTCAATTTAACATCAGAAGCAAAAAACAATCAGTCAGTGTTGTATTACGTTGTTTGCGTGTTCGCGTTGTGAGCGTCGCCCAGTCACTATTTCATCTGAAGCACGGCTCTATTTGCGTTAATAGCAGTACTATATTGACAAAAATTAGGCCGAATTTTTCCAACCTCAGATACAACAAAATATATTGACAGAAAAACACAGTGTTTACTCATACTGTATATTAAATAATTAATCAAAAAAAAAAACACCTAATAATATCAACCAGTCACAAATCTTTACACATTAACCAAAACTACATAACCTTAATTGCAACAACTAATTAAACTTAACGAAAAACTACATAGAGCAAAAAATAACTTATGTCTTATTTTAAACCAGAATAACTAACCATTCAGACAGCTCCTTCTCCCTCCGATTCTTCGCGAGAAGAACGGAACGGTCATCAATGACGGCGAGCAGCTGGATTAACCAGCACTCAGCGCCCGCTTCGCGCTCAGGAGAAGGAGCTCGACTCCTCATCATGGTTAGCGTGACCAAACACTTTAGAAATGCATCTCTCAAGTCAGAAACTATAGAAATGATCCCTGAAAGTATAGTCTTAAAGAATAGCTGCCTCGCGCCGAAGACCTCACCGTAGGCGCTGCCCCGCCCGGTCACGGTGTCCCCAGTATGAGCGCACGCTCACTTAGCTAAGCGTGACCAAATTCTTCGCCCGACCACCATATGAAACCGTAATAAGGCGCTTATAAAATGGTCAGACGCAGCCTCAGGTTAAACCGAAAAAACGACAATTTTTAAAAGAATAATTCAGACTATACGGTGTCATTAATGCGCTATGATCAAGGCGCCATGATAGCAGGATCGGCTCTGCACTATATATAATAATGTACACGATTAACGATCATGTAAAATAATTTTTCTCCATCGTATTCGGGGAAAGTTCACGCAAGTGTACTAAGATTTGACAAAAATAAACATAAAAAATCGTAGTACCCACAATGCTGCACTTCTTATTTGCATAAAACGTGCGTTGTGACATGTGATTGGCTAGCTACTTGGTAGATTTTTCCGAAAGACTTCCCGGAAAATTTAGGTAAACATCAAAGTGACTAACGTGTTTTAGATTATGAAATGCTTTCAAAAGCAGAAAGAACGACTCATAATCCAAGACTGCAAACTTGTCGACGATACAAGTATTGAGAATAATCTTAGATGAGGATCTTTTACATTTGTATAATAAGGAAACAGCAGAGCGTTGTGAAGGACTCTCCCCATTGACAGTTAACAAACCTACAGTGAAGCAGTTAATGGTACCAGCTTACCCGCATACAGGGAAGAGACACGCTCTTAATAGTATAATAAAAATATTTAAAATTAACTTGTCACTCTAGAACGAGCAGTACGAGATGAGGCATATTAAAAACACTATTATCAACAGTCTGACTAGGCTTGCAGCATAAATTGTATTTTTTTAACTGGTGGTTACTTTACTTTATTATAAAGTAAATTTATACTACTGTTTACAGGTTACCTGCCGTGTTGACGTACCTTGAGTAAATAGCGTTTTGCAGGTGTCTTGCATTGAATTCTTTTTATTATTATTATTATTTAATGGTTTGTTCTGAAACTTGTATGGTGGTTAAGAACAATCATATCCTAAGGTTTATCGATGTATTTAGAGGTAAGGGAATAAATGCATTGAAATTCAGATTAGCTTAATGTTCTAACATCTTTTTCATTCCTGTTGGTCTCATTAATCCCTTGATAACTAAGGAGCCTTCATAACATCACCATTAACAAACTGAGAAACATGAAAAGCATGTCAAGCAGTTTGTCGGTGCTGTCTCCTCCATGTTGTCCTTGCATGTAGTCGCCACTATGGTTTACTGTGCTGTTTGGGGACGCTTCAGTCGCTCAGAGAAAGGAATACAAATGTAATGACTTTTCAGTGACACAGATCGGGAAAAAATGATCAACTCAAGTCAGCAGGATAAATAAATGAAGACTATATATAAAAAAATCATGCGAGGTAATCATATGCAAACACTCCATTTGCTATTTTTCACAAAGATTATACCATTGGGAAGCTTATTTGGTTTATTAGAAATAAGGAACAGTGGAAGGCTTGTAAAATCCTGGGAGTTGAGACTCATGTTTGGTGAGGGTGAACGGAAGAAATAGTATTAAGGGAACAGAATTGACAGTGAGTAGACTGTTTATGGTTAAACGTTACCTATCGTTGACTTTATCCAGTATCATAGCCTATTAAGTGTTATCTGTTAATGTTCCCTAAGTCTACTGATTTAGTGAAGAATAATCCACTAACATGCTTTAATGCACATGTTATTTTGATACTGATGTGTTGATAATATGCAATCAGATTTTTTAAGCATCTTACCCTTCGAAAGTGCATCAGAAGTTGGCTATTCTGCTGCATCTTTACTGTACTGCTAGTATTTGCTGGTAAATTCCAGGAACTATTGAGAGGCTTCATGATCTGCCCTTGTTATAAAAAATGGCCCATTGAAATGAACAGAGCTGCTGTGACTCTCACTCTACATGGGTCTGGGTAAATCCAACACGTTCACGTTCGTTCCAGAACAATATATAAATTCCAGATTCCAATCACCATCCTTATCAAAATATGGAATCTGTATTTTAAAATGAAACTGGGATTAATCATACATTAATTCATCAATCTTTCTTCCAACTGCTGATCCAGTACTGGGTTATTGTGGGATTTTTTTCAAAAAGGTGATTAGGTGAATTGGTGTCTCTGAATTTCTGATAATGTATGTGTGTATGTATGTTTATATGTGTGGATGTGTGTGTGTGCCAGGTAGTCAGTTGGCATTGTTGGCAAGGGTAGTTGTCAGTCTTGCTCTACCCTCCTGAGACCCAAGGAAAAAAAGTGTCCTTCAATCATAGGTTATTTGTCTTGGAGGAAATAAGACATCTTACAATTTAGATTTTTTCAAATTTATTTTTAATTTCACAGCATGTCCTCTTTAGTGTACAACAGGAATAAATA